TTTCCTAGTGAGCCAGAGTGTTGGAGACGTGTGGAGACACTTTTTTAAGCTCCAGAGCAGGACCAGCTTCTTCTCACCAGTCACACGAGGCAGAAATCTGGACATTTAAACAAATTGTGTTGTGATAAAATATGACAAGGTTCAATCAATAAGAAATGCACGGAGAAGTAGAGGAGACGGGAGAGGACTGTTTTGCATATTGCCTGGTAAAGTAGTTGGTTTTCTGGACTGTTTGAGTAGCCTGTTTTCCTCTAGAATATGAGAGGAATTCTTCTTGCAATCCATGCCTCAAGTGGTTAAAAAAGTGAATCGATCAATGGTGTTGGGAAGGTTACTTTTAAAATGTATTCCCCTACAGATTACAGATTACATGCCCCAAAATGTAGTTTGTAACATAATCCATTAAATTACTTAAAGTGAGTAGCGTAATCTGAATATTTTGGATTACTTGATATTGTTATGCTTTTTAAAAGTACATGAACGTACCAACCACATCCTGAATAGTTTGAAGAGTTTGCTCTCTTCAAATTGAGCCCAAATCTCCATGAAGAGACTTTTGTTTGCTGTAGAGAAGCAAAGACGAGGATCGGAACATAAGAAGTTTTATGTGTTTAAAGAAAATAAAAAGCCCAGACTTTACAATTATGTCCACCTACTGGTAGTGTCATATTGTTTAGTCCTGGTTTAGTCCTGGTTTTAGTTCTGGTTTAGTCCTGGTTTAGTCCTGGTTTTAGTCCTGGTTTAGTTCTGGTTTAGACCTAGTTTAGTCCTGGTTTTAGTCCTGGTTTAGTTCTGGTTTAGACCTAGTTTTAGTCTTGACTTTAGTCCCGGTTTTAGTCCTGGTTTTAGTCCTGGATTTAGTCCTGGTTTAGCCCTAGTTTAGTTCTGGTTTAGCCCAAAATGTGAAAACAGGAACATACCTCCATGTAATCCATTTGTTTCAACAAAGTTACTGTAATCCAATTACCACTCATGGAAACAGTAAATGTAACTGAATACATTTACTCATAATTTGTACTCTGATTACATAATGCTGGTACATGTAATCTGTTACTCCCCAACACTGTCAATCAGTGAAATCAAAGCCTAGTTTTAAGTAAAATTGATACTATTTTGCAAAATGAGCTTTAAGTCATGTTAGAATGTTGTTATCTCCCCAAAAACACACCTGGAGTTGTGTTTTGTTTCATTCACATATGTTTGAGTAACACTTTATTATTAATCTGTCTACATCTCCAAAGCTCAAAATGCTCCTTTTCACCTTGTGATGTCATGAAGCGCCAATTTTCGAGCTACCTTTTATGTGTTTTCTTTAGTAGAGGTCAGCAATTCCTGAGCTGAAATGATCCAAATGTTTCTAGTGAAGGTGTGTGGAGTTTAAAAACACTGTGGAGCACTTCCTGTATTACCACATGATGTCACAAGGTGGAAGAGTATTTTCAATTTAAGAGAAGAACTCAGCCTAAATCTGCATGGTTTGTGAGTTAAACATGTGTGAGTGAAACAAAACAGAACTCCAGGCCTGTTTTTGGTGAGAAAACATAGATCAGAAAATCATGTAATATTGGCCCTTTAAATGAGTGAATAGATAAATGAAATCAAATGATACTTTTACTGAAATAAAATTAAAGGGACAGTTCAGAATTTTGGACATAGGACCTTATTTCCTAGTGAGCCAGAGTGTTGGAGACGTGTGGAGACACTTTTTAAAGCTCCAGAGCAGGACCAGCTTTTTCTCACCAGTCACATGAACTATATCTGTGAAGTTCAGCTTGACTTTAACCTCTCAGGCTCAAATTAAATTTTAGTAACAGGAAAAAATCAGATATTTGGGGAAAATGATCATATGGGGTAGTAATATACAATCCTGACTTTTTTTTTGAGAGAGACCTTCACATCCAATGTGTTCTGGGATGTTACAGATTTGCAACATTGGTCCGGTGTGGTAAATTAACACTGAAGACTGAAAATGATATGAATGCTAACTTTATTTGTATACCACTTTTCATAACAATGAAAAGCACAGTGTAACAGTGCTTTACAGTGGCAGAACAACATCACCTTTTCGTGTGGTACTCCAAGAAACAATTTTTATCCTTTGTAAACAACAAAAGTACTTTGCACTTCTGGCAGGACGTTTGTGTGTAGCCACACGCACAGTCTGCATCGTCCACGTTTATCAGCATGGATGGGAAAAAAGGCTCCTGAGTAAAAAAAGCTCATAAAATATGGATTTGGAATAAGTAGGTAATTGACATTTATCTGTTGCAAATCTGCAACGCTTGCCTGGAGAGGGTTAAGACGGCACATAAAATAATCATTAAAAACAAGCGTTCAAAATAGAAATCTTGTGTGGTTTGATTATTATGGGTGAAGTTGAATTTGGTTGAAATTGGAGCCATATGAATAAATGTGGGTATATTTGTAAATGACACAAACTGTGGAGGTCTTGATGCAGTAGTGGATCAAGTATTTAGTGTTGTTACTTAGGCCAAGTATTTGTGGTTCCTGTATCTTTTACTTAAGTAAAAGTATCACATGAAAAAATCTTCTTAAAGGTGCAGTAACTTCTGGCACGTCTCCTGATTCCATGGAAATACAACGTTAAAACCTATTCCGTCCAGTCCTTGTATTTGCAGAGGTCGCTGGTGCTAGGCTAGTGCATGTCAATGGCCATAGTTATCCTGCCACTAAAACAGTCTTACCCACTCCACAAAACACCCGAAACAAATCTGTTATTACACCAGACAGTCCATGTGAATGTCTGTGTCAATAGAATAATGTTTGAAATAAAACTAACCTTGCATCGCATGAATCGTCGCATGTTGAGGGACTATTTTCTCACATATCAGTCCGCCGCTGCCACTTTCTATCAGGAAGTACAACTCTCTGCTGCTGCTCAAACAGAAATCCTTCAGATGTAAGGTTGGTTTACTTCTAAAATTATTCTATTGACACAGACATTCACATGGACAGTCTGGTGTAATAATAGATTTGTTTCAGGTGTTTTGTGGAGTGGGTAAGATTGTTTTTACTGGCAGGAGAACTATGGCCATTGACATGCACTAGCCTAGCACCAGCGACCTCTGCAAATACAAGGACTGGATGGAATATTTTAAAAAGTGTCTCCACACGTCTCCAACACTCTGGCTCTCTAGGAAATGAGGCCTTTTGTCCAAAATTCCGAACTGTCCCTTTAATTTTATTTGAGTAAATATATAATTTAATTTATGTATTCATTTATTTAAACGGCCAATAATACATTCTTTTTTGATCTATGCTACAATTTGTTTAACCAAAAACACACCTGGTGTTTTGTTTCATTCACATGTTTAACACACAAACCATCCATATTTAAGATGAGTTCTTCTCTCAACCTGAAGATACTCTGTTCCACTTTATGATGTCATGTAGTAATACAGGAAGTGCTCCACAGTGTTTTTAAACTCCACACACCTTCACTAGAATCATTTGGATCATTTCAGCTCAAGAATTGCTGCTCTCTACTGAAGAAAACATATAAAATGTACCTCAAAAACCACTGCTTCATGACATCACAAGGTGGAACGGAGCATTTCCACACATCTCCAAAACTCTGGCTCACTAGGAAATGAGGTCCTTTGTCCAAAATTCTGAACTGTCCCTTTAACATAGTTTTAAGCCAACCCTTTTTTTAATATATAAAAGATTGTATGAATATATATAGCAAATTCTACACTTATTTTTCTAAAACTCAAGTTATTTTTCGCTAATTTCACACAATTTGTATTTAAATATTAAAGTAAGGATGTAACAATGTTCAAATTTCCAGTTCAATATTATCACAATATGCATCTCACAGTATGATATTTATTGCGATATTTTGGAGTAGCAAATATAATTCTAAATAGCTTGCTTTTAAAATACCTTGACAAAGATAATGGTGTGAATTATTTGTCAGAATCTCAAGAAATCAAGTCAGAAACATATTTCTTCATATTGTCTATGCTGAAATGAATCATGGGATATGCAGTTCCTGATGTTTATAAGCTGTTCCTACTAAAGAACAATGTATTTACGCAAAGGAAATTAATAAATAAATTAATTATTATAATTCAATATATTGTGACAGCTCTCGATATTATTGTGAGACTTCTGATGATACCATATCACGATATTTCAGTTATTGTTACCTTCCTATCTTCAATATTTAGTTTTATAGAACACTGAAATGAGCCACATGTCACAAGCTGTAGTTTCGGTCCCATTCCTGGATAAAATAAAGAGGTTTGTGGTCAGGAAGGGCATCTGATATATATATTTTTTTAAAAAGCATGTGTAATCAATATCAAATCATTCAAAAATAACAAAGTCTATCTAATAGCCATCCATCCATTTTCATCTGCTTAACCAGAGCCGAGTCAAGGGGGCAGCAGGCTAAGCAGGGACTCCCAGACTTCCTTCACCCCAGACACTTCCTCCAGCTCTTCTGGGGGGACCCCGAGGTGTTCCCAGACCATCCCAGACACATAGTCCCTCCAGCGTGTCCTGGGTCTTCCAAGGCCTCCTCCCGGTGGGACATGCCTAGAACACCTTCTGAGGGAGATGCCCAGGAGGCATCCAGAACAGATGCCAGAGCCACCTCACCTGACTCCTCTTGACGTGGAGGAGCAGCGGCTCTACTCCTTCCGTGTGACTGAGCTCCTCTTTCTCTAAGGGAGCGCCCAGCCACCCTGCAGAGGAAACTCATTTTGACCGCTTGTATCCTAGATCTCTTCCTTTAGGTCATTTCCCAAAGCTCATGTCCATAGCTACATGACCATGTCTAATATCCTAAAGCTTTATGTAACTTTGAAATAAGCCACCGTCACAAGCTCCAGTGTCGGTCCCATGCCTGGATAAAATAAAGAGGTTTGTGGTCGGGAAGGGCATCTGACATAATAAATGTTCAAATCACTTCTAAATCTGGTGTAATAAAGTTTACAAGAAAGAAAAATATACATCAAAAACAGAAACCAATGTTGTGTTTCTTGCATTTTATTGTTAGTAGTAAAATAAAGACATTTTCACAGAATATGTTTAAATTCAGGTGATTTCACAGAATTTGGTCAAACAGTTGCATGTATTGGACTACAGTTAGTGAATAGAATTACAGTCTGCTGTGTCTTTTGGCAGTGACGGCTGGTTTTACATGGGTTTGGCAGAATATCAACATACAAGTGAACATCAAAATATGGAAACATAGTGGAAAGGTCAAAGGTCAATTTATTTCATATCAGTTCAGTTTGATGTAAATAAAGGTTATAATGCGCACCGATCAGCCACTACGTTATGACCACCTGCAGAACAAGAAATGTCTGAAACCAGGTCTAAACCAGGTCTAAACCAGGTCTAAACCAGGTCTAACCAGGTCTAAACCAGGCCTAACCCAGGCCTAACCCAGGACAAAAATGGTCTGACACAGAACTAAAGCAGGACTGCTGCTGGCCACTGCAAAGTGAAACTGTCCCGCAAGAACTGAACTAAACCAGATCTATCCCAGGTAAAACTCAAACCTAAACCAGATCTAAACCAGATTTAACTCAGGATTTAAGACAGGACTAAACCAGGTCTAAACTAGGACCAAACCAGATTTAAGTCAGGTTTAAACCAGGATTTAAACCAGGACTAAGACAGGAGGAAAAACAGTTCTAACTCAGGTCTAAGCCAAGTCTAACTCAGGACTAAACCAGGGCTAAGACAGGTTTAAATCAGACCGGGGTTAGTCCTGGCTTAAATCCATACTCAAGCCAAAACCAGGCCCAACTCAGGCTTAAACCAAGCCAAAACCAGGCCCAACTCAGGCTTAAACCAAGTCTAAACCAGGTCCAACTCAGGCCTAAACCAGGTGCAACTCAGGCCTAAACCAGGTGCAACTCAGGCCTAAACCAGGTCCAACTCAGGTCTAACTCAGGCTTAAACCAAGTCTAAACCAGGTCCAACTCAGGCCTAAACCAGGTGCAACTCAGGCCTAAACCAGGTGCAATTCAGGCCTAAACCAGGTGCACCTCAGGCCTAAACCAGGTGCAACTCAGGCCTAAACCAGGTGCAACTCAGGTCTAACTCGGGATTAAACAAAGTCTAAACCAGGTCCAACTCATGCTTTAACCCAGGCCCGAACCAGATCTCCAACATCAGATTGGAGAAGCTCTGATCTAGTTCTCTTAGCCCTCAGTTTCATCTTCACTAATTAACTTCACTAATAATTTCACTTCCAATTTTGAAATCAAAAAGTTCACACAATCCCCAAGTGATCAGAACAACAATAAAAATAACAATAATAATAATATTAATAATATTGATAATAAAGATAATAATGGCTGATCAGTGCAGATTTGATTCTGAACTCTAAAATCCATTGACTCTTGCATTAACTTGTGCCTGGCTACATCAAGAAATGACAATGTTTTTGTGTGTGTTGCTTAAGGCCTTGTCAGAATATATGAGGTTCTGTTGTGCGTTTAATTGAGCTTTTTTGCTTTTAAAAATACGTGATTTTTTTTTTTTGCGCTGCAGATTCATGATGCTTTAACTTGAACCATAAAACATTAAAAACATAAAAAGTAAAATCTGAGCAGCTACGTTCGACAAACCACTATGGCAACTTTGTTTTTGATTTTTACTGGCTAAAAACACTAAAAGGCATTTTAATGTTAAGAAATCAGTCTAGATGGATGCTTGTTAACTTCAGAGTGATATGGTACAGATTGGGTCAGAACAGGCAAGATTTCAAAGCAAAATACTATTCAAACGTACAAAAACTCCACTGTATTCCACTGAACTACTTTTTCTTGGTTCCGAGTCCCAAGAGTCAATTTGGTCCACTTTCTAAAAACAGATATTGTAGTCTGCCGAGTTTGGCCCATAGACAACGCTGCTTTAGGTACAAATGAAAATACAGGAAGAATGGCTTAACGAAACGAGGAATGGTACGATATGGATTTGATCAGTCAAGTTATCAGTTTTTTGTCCACATAACGCCACAGATCGACATCAGAAACGATATCTTGTGCTTCCATTCATAAATCAGAAGTCATTTAGGCAGCGTGACGACTCCTTCCTCATTCTGAATTTAATTTCTGGAATGTGCGGCATGTTTTTGTGGAGTTTGGACATTCTTTTAAATTAATTAATTCACCTTAAAACAGCCACAGTTGATTCTCTGCAGCAGATGCCACCAAACATATGCCACCAGGTCATCAATTTGTGTTTTTCATAAGGTTCAGACTATATTAGCAATGCACATTTGTCAACACGGTAACTGCTTAACATCCCGCTATAGACATACATGCAGAACACTCCCAGTTACTGCAATGTATCAATAGTCCGACCAACAAGTTAGAGTATTGACCAGGTTACTTCTGACACACTCACTCATTCACTGCTGCGAACACATTTAACACAGGCATAGGGTGACCAAACATCCCCATTTACCCGGGACAGTCCCAGTTTTGATTCTGGTGTCCCCCGTCCCAGCAGGTTTATCCAAAACCAGTGATTTGTCCCAGTTTTATACAAGAAATGTGAAAAGGTGTCCCTATTTTTGACAAATTTTATCTAAACTAGGACTAAACTAAGACTACACCAGGGCTACATCAAGTCTAAACCAGGATCAAACAATCCGTGTATCCATTTTCTTCTACTTATCCGGGGCCGGGTCACAGGGGCAGCAGCCTAAGCAGGGACTCCCAAACTTCCTTCACCACAGACATGTCCTCCAGCTCCTCCGGGGGGACTCCAAGGCGTTCCCATGCCAGCCTACAGACATAATCCCTCCAGTGTGTCCTGGGTTCATTCGTTTTTCAAAATAAAACTAAAAATAAAAAAACAACCATTTTCTTCATTTGTCTCCAAAACCAGATAACGATTCATTTTTTTCAGTTTTCGATTTTGTGTTTAAATGAATAATGGAAAAAACGGATAACGGCCGTTTCCCGTTTCCGTGACTTAAACTGCGATGCCGGACTGAACCAGGACTGAACCAGAACTAAAACAGGACTACACCACAACAACATCCGTTTTTTTCCATTATTCATTTAAACACAAAATCTAAGAAACAATGAAGAATTTTTTTGTTTTGTTTAAGTGGCAGGCTAACTATGGCCATTGACATTCACTAGCCTAGCACCAGTGACCTCTGCAAATACAAGGACTGGATGGAATATTTAAAAAAGTGTCTCCGTACATCTCCAACACTCTGCCCCCTATGTCCAAAATTCCGGACTGTCTCTTTCAGCTCTACTTGTGTACAAGTCTCTCCATGGCCGAGCACCAAAGTACATCTGTGACATGTTAGTGTCATATGAACCATCTCGCACTCTGAGGACCTCAGGGACCGGCCTCCTGCTGGTGCCCAGAGTCAGGACTAAACAAGGGGAGTCAGCGTTTCAGGTTCATGCAGCTAAAACCTGGAACAGTCTGAACATGTGAGACAGGCCTCTTCTGTGACGCTGTTTAAATCCAGACTCAAAACATTTCTGTTTAACTGTGCATATAACTGAAAGGTTTTCATTCCGCACTCTTGTCTCCAATTTATGTCTCTCTTTTTTAAAATTTTAATCTTCATGATTATTTATGTTTTGATTTGTTTTTATTATGATTTTAATGTATTTCTTATTCTGTAAAGCACTTTGAATTACTTTGTGTACGAATTGTGCTATACAAATAAACTTGCCTTGCCTTGCCTTTAAGCGCCTTGCGCAAGGCCACAACGACGGGAATCGCACCGCTCCACCAAGGGTGTTTATGTCGTTTAGTACGCGACTTGGACCGTCAACGTTTGGATCGGTGGACAAACGCTATGGCTGAAGGGTCAAATGCAAAAGGACCAATAATATCCCTATGGGGGCAGTAAAGTTGACCTTAACTTTACCGGGAGACTAATGCCAACCTTAATCTACATGTACAAATATCAGCTAGGATTACTATCTAGTATAAAAATACTGAGGCTGCCCTTATGATAAATGGACCCAACCTTTACCATATCACTCAGCGGGAAAGTGGCATCAACCATTCCAAACCATTCTGGCCTTCAACAGTGAATTCGAATACGTACTTCTACATTTGGTCCTTGATGTTTCTTGAATAATAAAAATCTAAGAATAAAAAAAACAAAACAAAAAAACACAAGAACAACATGAACGATCTAAGCGTGTTTTAAAGGCACTGGACTAACAACGCAGCCGAACCCTCCGCGGCGCGTCCAAAGACTGGCTCCTCCGCGACGTGTTCGGGCGCCGCTCATTTCGTCGTTTTCGTCGCTTTCATCGTTTCCGTCGTTTCTGTCGCCGTCTCCTCGTCCTTGAAATACTGGTGCTCGAGTGCGTTCACGGCTGATATCCGCGCGAACGGGTCAAAAGTCAACATTTTCTGTGGGAGTAGGAGAAGAAAAAGAAAAATATGAGTCATTAAAGCTTTTCAAACGGTGATATCTACGGTTGGAAACAGGGTCAAGGCTGCAGAACTGACGAAAACTGAAATCCTTTAACAGTTTTGAACGCAGAAATTATTACTTTGACTTTTTGTGAGTCAGAAAATTTCTATCCGTTATGTAACGAAAGAGAAATAACACCTTAGATCTTAGTATTTGCTTATTTTGTTTTGAATAGAGATTGCGCCAAAAGGAGAATTGGCTGATATGTTGTGGGAAAAGATCTAAATAAGACTCTTCAGTTAGATTTTGTGATGCACTTGTGTTGTGACTCACTCTGCAAAACTTATACAATACAACAATGAAAATAACAAGTATTTCTAAACATTTTGTAGTGCTCTGAATGACAAGGTTAGCGGTTTACATGTGACATAAGGCAGGAGTAATAATGCATTTTATTTAACACTCAAGGACACCGTACAAACACATACGGTAATTATAAAAGACACATAATTACAATTAAACAGGTAAGATCCTTCATGACTCTATAATGCGGCACGAATATTTTTACACTCCATGATTGTGTTTCATAAAGAGTATTGCAGGAGAGTCTCCAACCTTTTTCCTCCGGTGAGCTACTTTTACAAAACGAAAATGCAAGAGAGAAGCTACTTTAAGGGGTCACAAGAAATAGAGTAAATCTAAGAGCCACGCTGAGCCTGAGAAGGGCACAGTTACATTAATTCATTCAACTTTCATTAATGTACAAAGTTAAGCATCAAGATTATACATTTACAGTGGCACTGGGCATTTTCAAAATCAAAAACTAGGACATCCTCGTGAATCAAGAGTGTATAAGGTGCACTGTCATAAAATGGTCTATTTTCAAACTTTTTTCACAAATAAACTGCACTGGGCTTTAAATGAAACAACAGTTGGATGGGTGAGTGGGACTTTGTTTGGTGCGTTCACGGTGACTCTGGGCTTTGTTCAGTTGTGGCGTGTAGGGAGGGTGCTGTCTGGGACCGCTGGATTGTCGGCGTGTTCGCAGTGACTCAGTTGTTCAGTTGTGTCTAGAAGTGGCACATTGCACTCGCTTTTTCGGTTCGTTCCCCCGTTCCGTTCCTCGTCAGCGTGGAGTGATGAGTGTGTTTCGCTCTGCGGTAGCTGTCTGCTCCGTGTGTGTGTTTGCGTGCGCTGCGGGTGGTGCGGTTTTGTAGTTTACTGAAGACGTGCTGGGACACCCGAGTGGATTTGTATATAAGGCGCTCTGGATTGTGGGGTGCACGGCCGTTTTTTGATGGGTTAGAGGCTTAAGAGCGCGTCCTATAGCCCGGAAAATACGGTAATCACATTTTCTTGGTGTTTTGGTCGTTTTTAAGCAGCTTTTCTGTGTTTTACCTAAACAAATGACAATGTATGCCTCTCTTTACTGTTGGCAGGGGATCAAATTGGTCAAGAATATGAACATCTGGGATATAAAACTGGTACAAATCAGTGGTTTTGGATAAATCAATGGGACAGTGGACACAGGGCTCAAAACTGGTCCCTGTTTACCTGGGACATCTGGTCACTCTACATTTAATCAATCAAATTTTACTTAAATACGTAAAATTCAGAAATCCTTTGGCGAGCTACTTGGAAGGGGGTAGTGAGTTACTGTTGCTCCCGAGCTACAGGTTGGAGACCCCTGGAGTATTGCATAACCGCACGGTCACTCGCTGCTGGCACAAAACTCAAACCTGTCAAATCACTTTTTAAAAAGCTGTAAAAATACTGGACAAGAAACCACTCTCATTTTACCACTGCACTATTTTAGATAAGTACGACCTGCTTTATTTTAATGATTTTGTTGATTTTAAATATGGATGTTTTATATACGAAGTTTTGTACCTCTGTTACAGATTTTTATTAAAGTAAAGACTGTCAGTGGGATGGGAACTAAGGCCACACAGATGCACCACATTTGGACAAAGTGTGTCTCAGTCTCAGTCAGAGGCACTAACTTTTGGAACAGTCTCCCATTATCAATAAGAGAGACTCCAACACTGGACACTTTCAAATCCCACTTGAAACAGTGGCTTAAGGTAAACCAGACTTGTGGATACTTTTAGTTTAGAACTGTCACTTGTTATCGTTTTTTTTTTTCTCTGTTAAATTTGTGGTGTTACCTGCCTGGGGACTACAGATGCATTTTTGTTATTATCTGGCATATTTACACTGCAGTGTTGTAGATGGTCATTAATATGCACTGTCCCTATTAAATAAATAAATTAATAAATACAATCAATCAAAACATTAAAAAAAAAAGAATCAAACAATACAGGACAGGTACTTAAACATCAGGACATTAATGAGGGGGTAGGCTAATTTCAAAAGAAGGGTTTTGAGTCTGGATTTGAATGTTGGGAGTGAATTGAGAGTGAATAAAGAGAAGTGCCTGAATGTTTTTCACACATGGTCACTTTTTGAAACAGTGCAAATGAGCAAAGAGCCACAAAGCACAAGGTAATGAAGTGAATCATTCAAGATGCTGAAAGTCTGACTGAGCCTCTACACCTTTAATAAGGATTTTTTTTAGCTGATAGCAGATTTATTTATTTTTGTCAGACTATGGAAGGACAGAGGAGCTCATTCTCCAACAGGCTCCTACAGTTCCATTCAAACAGTGACAGATACAAGACTATATTCATACTATAATACTCCGTACAACTGTACAATAACTCACCCTTATGGAACAGATAATACTCCCTACAACTGTACAACAACTCACCCTTACGTAGCAGATAATACTCCCTACAACTGTACAATAACTCACCCTTATGGAACAGATAATACTCCCTACAACTGTACAACAACTCACCCTTACGTAGCAGATAATACTCCCTACAACTGTACAATAACTCACCCTTATGGAACAGATAATACTCCCTACAACTGTACAACAACTCACCCTTACGTAGCAGATAATACTCCCTACAACTGTACAGCAACTCACCCTTATGTAACAGATAACCCCAAGTCCTATCAATCATCAAATGATTTTTGCATTGTTTTTCCTTACGACCTCTTGTACATAACTGAGATTTTTTTATTACTTATTTTTCTATTTTGACTTTTATTAATTTTATATAATTATTACATTTTATTTTATATTTTCTTTAACTTTATATTTATAATGTCTTAATGGCAAATAGTTTGTTATAAAACTATAGCCTATATATAATACATATATTATTCATAATAAATATTTATAATTTTAGCCTTGGTGCCCCTCCCAAAAAATTTACCACCAGTCTCCACTGGTCCTGTTTTAGTCCTGGTTTAGTCCCGGTCCCTCAAGTCTCAGGTCTCTCGGACAGGACTGGACGGCGTACCCTCGCGTACCACGCCCACTACAGCCCTGGTGCTGCCCGATGAGTGGCTATTTCTTGCCCGATTGCTTCTTTCAGTGATGTTGTTCAGGGGTGTTTTTCACGAGGCTGTTGTTTAATGTTTACAACCAGTGGCCTTATTGTTTTTTTAATAAACCTCAACCTTTTATTATTGTCTTGTGTGCGTATCGTCTACCACACAGCCTCAACAACTATTGCAGCTAATAATAATAATTTTAATATAATAATGATAATAATAACAACACATAATTAGCCTAATACTGTTAAATAAAAACGTGTTTGATAGCATTTCTGCTCTGTATGACTCCACCGCGTTAAAATATTTCTCAAATGGCAGTGCCCCCCCTGCTGGTGACACACGTCTCTTCACTAGATGTGCTCTGACGCCGACTCTGGTCTAATTACACAATTAATCATCCGCAAACAACTAAATATTCTCATTTCAGTGGGGTGTTGATTATTTTTTTACTTTCTGATGGATTGTCCAACATTTTGTCTTTTCAATGCGTATGTTATTGCTTTGCCTGGAATGTTCCACAGTAATTACTAAACTTCTCTATCTCCATGGAGACAAAGTACTGACACCGCAAAGCGAAGTAGCAGTAGTAGCAGTTTTCTTTTTAAAAATAAAAAACAGTGCAAAACAGAAACACAACTAAATAAATGCAGGATAGATCAGATCTGTTTAATGTCATACTGTGGAACATTTCAAGCAAATAATCATCTCAATCAAAGCCCCATAGTGAGTCTTTAATGAGTCTTACTAGTAATAGCTGGACGCCCTGTGAGTCGATCTCCGGGACGACTTCGGTGATCGGTCGAGGAGGAACCGGGCGAAAGTTTTTCCTGGAGAGTGTCACGTCAGACGGCCACTCCTCCTCTGAGGGCAGCCCGATCACACTGGAGGTAGACAGGAAGGAACACAATTAGTACATCTAGGGAAAAAAAATCGGCTTTTATTTGCAGTTAAAAATATATATTTTTGAAGTGCCTATACTGGATTTCTAGCCTGATTCATCAGGTCTGACCTCGCAGCATTAGAATTTGTTCACTCGACATTAGGCAGGAACTTTTTTTTATTTAACCAATCTCAGTAATTTGGTTGTGACGCATGTAATGCCCCGCCAAGGAGGCTAACTGGTATATTAAACGTTTCCCAAATCTCGTAGGAAGAAGGACAATAACGTCTTTACCCTTGATAAAATTCACCAATTCTCTTTGTTCCGGCTTTAAATCCTCGATCTCGGGAATCGTTGCCAACACAGAATGTCTGGCTTTATCTACATCCATCTCGACCCCTTTGTTTACTGTTGTGCTGTTCCACAAAAGGGACCCAGTCATGGCTTCACAGCTCTTTGCTGATTGGCCAGTGCACGGTCTACAACTTCCAGGGTTTTTGCAAACCGTCTGGTGTATTCCGATTCCTAACCTAGTCAATGGAGAGAAATTAAATTGAACGATGACACTAGGTGGGGCCAGCCTGGCTACTGGATTTCAATCATGAATCAAGAACATGTTTTAGCCCACCCAGTCCTGTCTGCCTGTGATATTACAACATGACACAGCAGCAGGTGTCTGGGACAGTGTGAGGGAGTTGGTTTCTCATTATACTTAGTAATGATGCAAAAAATTGTGACCCTTCTGCATTAGAAGGAGGTTCTATATTAGTTATTACTTTAGAAAATACTATATAAAATTGTTTTTTTTTCCCCCATTTTATTTATCAAAAAAAAAAAAAAAAACTACCATAAAAGCACTTACCTTTATAAGAATGAATAAAATTTCAGAGAAACTTTAGAGAAAAGATTTTACTCACTCAAAAATCTTGTTGAGCTGGTCCACTTCTGAATCTCCACAAAACAAAGGCCTTGAAAAACAAAACAGCTGTTTTCAGAGACTTACATTTAACAACTTGGCCATTAAAGTGAACTTTTAAGAGTGTCGTTCTCACATTATTACAAAAGTACCAGAAAATACTCAGCTCCACAAGACCTAAAGCAGCTGCAAAACAGACCTGAGACAGTTCTAAACTAGGTCTAAGACAGGTCTAAATCAGGACTAGAGCATGAGTTCTAAACTAGGGCTAACCCAAAAGAAGAGCAAGAACATGCAGAGGACCTCGCACACAGTGTCACACTTAAAGAAAGACACCTGAACTCAAGCTGAAGTTTAAAAATAAAGTAATAGTAATAACTTTATATATCTGTTATACATCTCCATAAAGATGCTATTGTTTTATTGTTTTGGAATTAAATGCATCCATCTCGAACACTAGCAGTTGTTGCCAACAGGCTAAGTTGCTGGTCAGATCTGTGGAGTGGCCAGCCCCCTCACAATAAAAATTTATGTTTCATCAAGGTATTTTCGAGCAATAAAAAATACACCAATAATAAAAAATAAATGCAAGACAGACAGTTCCAATGCCACACTGTGAAACCTTACAGACAAAGCAATAAAATCCCCATGGAAACAAACAGGTGGCAGACCCCTGAAGCTCCGCACTCTTAAATATAGTTAATTTTTATAGTTAAAACCATAAAAATCCGCAGGGACACCAATAAAACATCAACTAAACTGACTGCTGTGTTGTTTTATACAGATAAGCCACTAGAGGGAGCCACTGTGCGGGTACGGGCTTGAGATTTGAAGCATTAGATTTGGTATTACCTCAGAAAACCTCATAATAAAATGTTTATCAGGGCTCCGGGGCGAACAGACTCGGTCCACATTAATTAGGCGTTGAGGGATTGAATACTTCTTTTGAGCTGTACAAATGAACTGTTATTTTTAAAAGAAGTTTGTTTGTGGACTTGTGGTTTGAAATTATGTGAATGCAAAATTCAAGTATCTGTGTTCTCTGATATGAAGTAAACATGTTCAAATGCAAAATTTTACGGCTAAGGGCCAAAGGAATCATGCACAAAGTTGAACATCGGGAACATATACATCCTTTGTTTATTCAATCAAATCTACTGAAGTTTACAGATATTTTGACCGATTTAACCGCTATGTTCAATGCAATTAATCTATAAAAATGTTTAAGAGTGGAGAGCGGAGATATCTAAAGAGGACGGCATAACTTTAAATTCAATAAAGCTCGCAGAAGTAGGAAAAGATTTTATATTTCCTCAGGTGGAGTGAGATTATGGAGCAATACAAGGCAGGAAGTCAAAATTTCTATAAACCTAAGGCGGTTCAAAAGTAAGTACATTTTCAAAAGCCACGCAGATGAAATGTGAGTCCTGAGATGATTGTTAAGTGTATTTTGTGCAGCCTTATTAGTGCTCAGCAGGAAGCATCAAATGTGAAATCCTGTAATTAAATGTAAAGAAATGGGGCGGTCGGATTAAATAAATTTAAAATGTTTTCCCACTCTTTTTTGAACATACTATAATTATATGTTATATGTTTCATGTATGTATGCATTTATTCTTTGTCTGCAGAGTTCAATAATAAATGAAAACGTTAACAATTGCAATGTATTTATTCATTATAACAGAAGCATTTTAGATCATGTTGAATAGTTATGTACTTGTTTTAATTCTGTGCTTGTGTGAGAGATACAATACTAGATGAGACACTGCAGTCGTTTTAAATGTTGCTTTTACAATATATTCTTATACGCTTTTATTTAATATAGTTATGATTAGGTCTGTAACAATAACACATTTTGCTGTACGATTAACTGACCAAGAAATTATTGCGATAAACAATATTGACATTTTGAGACCATTTTCAACAACTATAATGACAATGGAATAAAAATGCAAATGCACCCTTTCAAAGATCAATAAATGTTACTTTCTAAAGAACATTTAACACAGGAACTGCAAGACAACCAGAAACGATAGCCCTAAATAAAACAGACTAGTCAGCATAAGAATAGCCTGTACTTTCTACTCACTGGTGGTAGTTGGGGACTTAAAAGTCATGACTTGGACTCAAGTCAGACTTTAGTTACTATTTTTAGGACTGGAGACTTGACTTGATAAAATGGACTAAGACTTGGGACTTGACTTGAAGGTCAATGACTTGGGACTTCACTGACTTGAGAAACCTGTGGTTTAAAGACTTGAAATGACTCGAAGCTCAAAGCAGACGACTTGGACTTGACTTGGACATATGGGCCAGTGACTTGAGACTCGACTTGGACTTGCCTGTAATTGACTTGGGACCTCGACTCGGACTTGAGGGCAAAGATTTGAGACTTACTTGAGACTCGCAAAACAATGACTTGGTCCCACCTGAGGTCCGAGTTTCCACTGGTGCTCCTGCTGACCGCTCACATTCTCATCATTATGGAAAACGTTTGTCATCTAACCTAAATGTTTATGATATTACCACTTAGTGCACAGATTAAACACAAACGGGGAGGGTGACTGCACGACCTGCATTTGCCCCACATAAGTGACTGATATGCACCATGAGCACACAGAGCGGGTGGCGCAGGTGTCTATACAGAATCATGCTCAAGTATCGCGGCCGGAAAAAGTTATGGAGCTTGTTAAAAGTGCAATTAATTGATTATCGTTATAGGCCATAGTTATGATTGCAGAGACTGTTTACTGTAGGAGTGCATTTAATTAGAAAAAAAATATACTGGCATGAATACGATAAACTGACAGATGACCCTGGACTATCACCATTTTTAGATCTTTAGAAGTGTATTTAAGATAATAATATGACATGTGTGGGAATGTAGTATGAGATTAAATACAAATAAAAACTAGAATAAGCATAATTGAGTAGACTCTCATTCTCGTTCTCTTAAGACTCACTTTCTCCTGAACATCTCAGCGAAGATGCAGCCAGTGCTCCACACGTCGACGGGAGATGCGTAACTGGACTGGAGGAGGACCTCTGGGGGGCGGTACCACAAAGTCACCACCTGAGAAATGCAAACAGGAACTGCATTCAAACAAACCTCAAAACAAATATGCCTGCGCCTGAGAAAAAGATTCTGTACGTTGAGTAATGAAACTGACTGACCTTTTGGAGTCTTGGAGCTCCTCTCGATACATCTGATCAATCTTTGTATATATTCAGACAAAGTCTATTTTTTATTTCATTATTTAATTTTGTTCACTGACAATGGCAATCAAACCTGACATATACTCATAATAACCATTTTTGTCTATAAAATGTTAGAGTACATTTAAAAATACATAGATAAATTGAAAAAAATAAATACTGACATGAATATCATAACTTGACAAACGACCCTGGAGTGTAGCCATTTTTAGATTTGTCCAAAACGGTGCATTTACCGTATTTTTCAGACTATAAGTCACACTTTTTTTTTTTTCATGGTTTGGGTGTTTCCTGCAACTTATACTCCAGTGCGACTTATAATTAACATTTTCACACTGAACCATCGAGAGGCTCTAGTCTTGTGTGTCAGTATCTGCTGGCCCCGTTCCTCCTGTACCACTGTCACTTGGCTCTACTGCCCATGTCTCCTGCAGAAAGAGCCTCTGTCTGGTCTGTATCATGTCAGACGATCGTACCATTACGTACCATTACTTCTATAACACTGAACATTTAACATTTCAACAAACTTATAGAGATGACTGAGAAGACTGAACACAAATGCCCCCAAAATGAAAATCATGAAATCTGCAGCTGAAAACAATAATCGGGCAGCAGAAAAAAGTTTGGAGTGAGCAAGAAACTTGTGACACCAGGAAGATGCACCATGAAACTTTCCCGAAGTCACTGGATGGATGGACAAAGCCTGGACTTCAGTGACACCGAAACCATCCTGTCGGAATTCAGAAAGGCACGAATAATTCTAACTGGAACTGATGCCGAGTCTGACAACAGCTACACAGAAGAGGAAGCAGCGCTCTGTTTACCTCTGGAGGTTGAGGCCGAGTTGCTCAGAAGTGACACTGAGGATGAAGAATTGAATGGATTTAGTGATTTGGAGTGAGATGGAGAGTTTGGTAAACTTGTTCTGTTCTGTTGTTTATGTTATAGTTTATCTGAAGAACTGTTCATATGTGACGTTAACAGTCTGTTGTTCTCTTCTATTGTTATTACTAGAACTTGACTTTCAAGATGAAATGTCAGTTCCCGGTCTCTAATTTTAGAAAATTTACTTCCCCAAAAAAGTCCGGTGTGACTTATGTTTTTTTCTTCTTCATTACGCATTTTTTGGCTGGTGCGATTTATACTCCAGAGTGACTTGTAGTCTGAAAAATATGGTAAGTGAAATAAAACACTGACGTGTGGGAATGTAGTCTGAGATTAAGTACAAACTAAGGATATAATAACAGTTTTTAAGTACACTTTCTCATTTGTGTTCCCTTAGATTCACTTTCTCCTGAACATCTCAGTGAAAATACCGTAACGATATGCACTCCTCAAAGTGCACTGCCACAAACAGGACAGTCTCACCCATTTTCACTTTCATGTCCTAACTTTTACAAATGTCAAAACACCGCACGGCTCAGCTACCTGGTACAACTTCCGTGACTTAACCACATGGGCCTCCTCTCATTTCTCTTTCCTCGCTTCCTTCTCCTTGAGTCCTTTCCTCGATTCTGCAGGAAATGGGTGAGGACGACCCACCCACCCATCACAGCAGACACAGGGAGGAAAGAAGATTTAAACTCCTCACTGAGACCAATAAAGTTTGACTCTTTTCGCTAATGTGTGCTTCTGAAGCATCCCTCAGCTTTACTCCTTTTCTTTAGGACACCACTAAATATGACACATTTGATTGACAGTTGACAAACGGAGGATCGAGAGGAATCAAGAACAGAGAATCTGACTAAAAAGTATTGCGTTTCTTTACCACTGGAGTGAGGGCCATGTGGCAGCTGTAGATCCTTGCCAGCCCGAAGTCGGCGAGTTTGATCTGCCCTTGACTCGTGACCAGGATGTTCTCAGGCTTCAGGTCTCGGTGGATCACGCAGTTCGAATGAAGGAACACCAGACCGCACAACAGCTGCCTCATCATGTCCTGCACCAAACAACATTAGAACATAAACAGGTTACAGAGCTACGGACAACTTTGTAGGAAGCAAAAACAATTTCGGTCTTAAAGAGGGAGGTATTATACTTGTAACTGCAAACACATGACATATTTAGATCACCACATAACCGTTAATTGTTTTGAAAATGTTAAGGTTTCGCGCAGACGTCACAAAACCACGTGACCTGGTGTGTATGTCGCCATATTGGAGGTCAAACTATTCATCTGGACTAACATGTAGTATTTGTGTGCGATAAAATTTGAATTAAATAACAATGGTTTTGGATGTTCTGGCCGGAGTCAGTCTGCTAAAGAAGGAGGCCAAAATATCTTTCTATCAGATGCCGGCTGATAAAGATCGCAGAAAGAGGTGGAGAGCAGACAGAAAAACAGAGGGATGGAGCCCACTGAGTAGAGTCGTCTATGCAGTCAACATTTCATTTTTGGTGAGTAATCATCTCCACACAAACAAAGAAGGGATTTACAGTAAACAAAATGATGTATACCAAAAGTATTTACAATAAACTGAATAATACCAATCTTGACCTCCAGTAAGTACGCCAAAATATTAAATCACATGACTCCCACATCACACGCAAATCCTTAATATTCGCCAAAAACTATGCATTTCTGAGTCCCTGCTCCCTTTTCTCCCCACTCTAAGTCGCTCCCCCTCCCCTTCAGAGCGCTATCCCCACCCATACATGTGCATTTTGCTTTTGAAACTACGGAGCATCGCATCAGTTTGTGAAGCTGCTGCGTACAGTTTTGTGTCACGTTTTTGTATATTTACGGAAAATTGCGGTGCAGGAGCATGGGTGACGTAGGCATGTGGGCGGAGCTTCAGACAGCATCTTACAGCTAACCATAAGAAAAGTTTTCAGGCATGTTTCTGATGAGGAAGCAACGTTATAACATGGTAGAAAACTCCAAAAAATTTGCATTATCATAATAATACCCCTTCTTTTTTTTATGGTAGTTGTATGTAGACGTATGTAGATTATTACAAACATATGTTTACGGTAAATTACAATCTTGATCTAAAAGGGAATTTTTCTCTTAAGGTTAAAACATCCCTGTGACATTCTGCCTTTTTGTACATAATTTCATATTGTGACTCAGACATTTTGTATTTAATGCAGCTCGACGACTTCCCCCACCCACTCCTGTTGGTCAGCCTCAGTCATGCTCTGAGTAAGCGCTTTAACCAGATGCAAAAAAAAAAAGCAGACAAGCATGACTCTAGTTTCTTCTTCAAATGTTCTAAGTGTGATCAAATTGAACAAGTTATTTGACTCCAAAATAATAGTGTTTGGCATTTGGTGGTGTGTGTATTTTCTGATCTACTGTATCTTATGACGTTTCCTCATTACAAAGTTGTGTTTTGTTTCATTCACACATGTTTAACACACAAACCCTGCAGATTTAATTTGAGTACTTGTCTAGAAAAGAAATCACTGTGTACAGGAAGTGCTCCACTGTGTTTTTAAACTCCATACGCCTTCACTGGAATCATTTTGATCATTTCAGCCCTGGAATTGCCAATCTCTACTAAACTAAAGGTAAAAAGTAGCTATTAACTACTACTTCATGACATCACAATGTACAACAGAGTATTTTAAGCTTTGGAAGTATACACAGACTAATAATAAAGGGTTACTCAAACATGTGTGAATGAAACAAAACAACTCCAGGTCTGTTTTTCAAGAGGTGAAATGGCTTAAAGATCACAAGAGTCATCTTGTGTAATATAGGACCTTTAAAGGGAAAGTTCCAAATCATGGACATAGTGCCTCATTTCCTAGTTAGTCAGACAATTTTTTAAATATTCCATCCAGTCATTGTATTTGCAGAGGTCGCTGGTGCTAGGCTAGTGCATGTCAATGGCCATGGTTATCCTGCCACTAAAAACAGTCTTACCCACTCCACAAAACACCTGAAGTAAATCTATTATTACACCAAACTATAGATGTAAATGTCTGTGTTGATAGAATAATGTTAGAAGTAAAACCAACTTTGCATTTGAAGTATTTATGTCAGAGCAGCAGCAGCGAGTTGTACTTCCTGATAGAAAGCTCAGCAGTGGGGGACTGATATATGAGAAAATAGTCCCTCAATATGCGACGATTCATGTGATGTTTTATTTCAAACATTCTATCAACACAGACATTTCCATGGACAGTCTGGTGTAATAATCGATTTGTTTCGGGTGTTTTGTGGAGTGGGTAAGACTGTTTTTAGTGGCAGGATAACTATGGCCATTGACATGCACTAGCCTAGCACCAGCGACCTCTGCAAATACAAGGACTGGATAGAATATTTCAAAAAGTGTCTCCACACGTCTCCAACACTCTGGATCACTAGGAAATGAGGTGCTATGTCCAAATTTCAGAACTGTCCCTTTAAATAATCTTGTAATCCGTGATCCCAGACTCATATGTCTCACCGTGCTCGCTGGTTTAGGCTGAATATCACTGTGTTGGCGACTTACTTTAATGCGTTCTGGGGAGAGTCCAGCTGGGGGCGCTTTCTCCAGGTATGTTTTCAGATCTTGGTCAACGTGTTCAAACACTAAAGTGACTTTAGTCTCTTGGTCCGATCTCTGGGTCGCACAAACGTCCATTAATCTGAAATCAAATTAAGAGTTAAAAGAGTGAGCAACTGATTTCAAACCATGAGTCGGGAATTTGTTTTAGTTTCAAGTGTTAGCCCCATCCACTTACTCCTTTGTGCCGCTGCGATGTTGCACAATGACACAAAAACAACTGTCTGGCAGAGTGTCAGGCCGTCGTTTCCATAAATTTATCAAATCTCTGCTACCAATGGATTTTTTTTTGTCATTTTGGTAAAGCGCCATGAGAGAGCGTCAAGTGTCTGGGACAGTGTCAGGCAGTTTGTTCCCATGACTCTTAGCAACAATGGGCTTGATTGGATGACAAAAGGTGGCCCCGTCAGTAACGTCTGTATTATCTGTCATTCTCCGAGAAAATGCTACGTAAAATGAATAGATTATATTTGAGCAGCTTTTACCACAGAATGCATGACGTAAAGAGGATTAAGCCTGATAATAAAAAAAAAAAAAAATGGTACTTTAAATAAAACACTGTCCTTGTTCTATAAAAATAAATTATTGTTATTCAATTGGAGTGCATGTAACTCAGTAAATACCTCTTATCTGTGCTGCCGTCTGTAGGTTTATATGAACCACAAACACTCAAATGTACAAAGATCTAATCTGCAGAATGTACATTTCACATTAAGATGCAGCTGAGGCAATAAAGTGTGTTTATTCAAGTGTATGATATTGTTTTATAATGTTTTCATTGGCTATTCAAACAAGAGTCTATAGTGTCACACTTTATGACAGCTCAGATTTATAGAGTATTACAGGGATCTCCAACCTTTTTCCTCCGGTGAGCTACTTCTACAAAATGAAAATGCCAGAGAGGAGCTAATTTTCGTGGTCACAAGAAATTTAGTAAATCTAAGAGCCACGGTGAGCCTTAGAAGTGTACAGTTGGATCCATTCACTCAACATTCATTAATATTGATGCTTAACTTTGTACACTATACATTTACAATGGTAATGGGCATTTTCAAAATCAAAAACTAGAACATCCTCAAGAATTGTGAATCAAGTGTGTCATTAACAAAAAATGTTCTGCTTTCGGCGCATTCATGACTAACATGAGAGTCAGTATAATCACATTTTTTTGTGTTTTGGTCATTTTTAAGCAGCTTTTCTGTATTTTACCTAAACAAGTGACAATGTATGACTCTCTTCACTGTTGGCAGGGATCAAATTGGTCAAGAATATGGACATCTGGGACATTTCTTGTATAAAACTGGGACAAATCAGTGGTTTTGGATAAATCTGCTGGGATAGGGGACACAGGGCTCAAAACTGGGACTATTCTGGGTAAATAGAGACATCTGGTCATCCTACATTTAATCAATCAAATTTGACTTATTGATAACAATATGTGGAATTCAGAAATCCTTTGATGAGCTACTTGGAAGGGGGTAGTGAGCTGGTAGCTCCTGAGCTACAGGATGGGAGACCCCTGGAGTATTGCATAACCACACGGTCACTCGCTGCTGGCACAAAACTCAAACCTGTCAAATCACTTTTTAAAAAGCTGTAAAAATACTGGAAAAGAAACCACTCTCATTTCACCACTGCACAACCTGCTTAATTTTAATGATTTTGTTGATTTTAAATACGGATGTTTCATATATAAAGTTTTGTATGAACTTGCCCCCCCCCTGTTACAGGATTTTATTAAAGTAAAGACTGTCAGTGGGATGGGAACTAGGGCCACACAGATGCACCACATTCAGACAAAGTGTGTCTCAATCAGAGGCACCAAGTTCTGGAACATTCTCCCATTATCAGTAAGAGAGACTCCAATAATGGACACTTTCAAATCCCACTTGAAACAGCAGCTAAAGGAAAACCAGACTTGTGGATACTTTTAGTTTACAACTGTCACTTGTTATTGTTTTTTTTTTACAGGTTGGACATTGAGGCTAGCAGCTATAGGGGCAAATTTGCAATTCCGACTATGAGCGCCATAGCGACCAAAGAGCCAGTCAGGAGCGAGGTTGTTGAAGGTAATGACACTTCCTTCCTGCACCCCCGGTTTGGCAGGGAGCGGGCATTTGGAGACACTGTCAATCAAACCCGTTGATGACACTAAGGGGAACGACCTCGGGGAAAGAAGGCATCTGATTTGTCTGTTATTAATGCTCAAATCTTGTCTAGTGAAATAAAAACACCAGGATCGTTTAGGAGTGGGGTAATACGAACATTTTAAAAAGACTAAAATGACAAGGCTCACTGGTGACGGTGATGGCCCTCACTGAACGCAGTCGACAAAGAACATTGTACAAATATTTGATCTGATTTTTGAATTTGGTCAAAACATCTACACAGTGGAAAAATCAGAATCAAAAAGTTAAATTGGACAAATGCATAAAAACAAAACCTCTGCTACTGCTGATAAAGGTATGTCCCTCTGTGTCGCCATGTCTGCAGACTGTTGTTTTGCTTTTGTATGAATGTAGTGAGTGAGAGTTGGTGATTGGGGCAAGTGGCACAGATTGGTAGCCTTGCTTCAGTCTCGCCCAGGACAGCTGTACCTACACACATACAGCAACAGACGTACGCTACCACCACCCAGAGTGAATCAACAATCAGTGTAAATAAAGTGAGTGTCTTTGAAAGGCGCTATACACATTTAAGGCACAGGCTATGACTATTATACATTCAGAAATGATAAGCTATAATTGAAAGTAGGCCACAATAATTACAAGAATGACTTAATGTTCTATTACCGTAATTTCGAGACAAAAAGCCGCAACTTTTTTCTCACACTTTGGACCCTGCGGCTAATAAAACGATGCGGCGAATATAAGAACGGATTCTACGTTTGGCACATTGTCCATTCATATATATACGCTCTGTGGTTTGGAGTGTCTGATTGCAGAAAACACCGCTGTCTGTGCGGGTAAAACATGGATCTAGTGTTCACGTGAAGTTGCTACACGTGCTCGCAAGATTGTCAGCGCACTCAAATAGTTTATCGCCGTGTGATAAGATAAGTTATGATGCTAAATGAACATTAGTGAGGGGGATATGTTTTACCCGTGTGCGTAAATGAGAAGAAATGTCTCAAATTTCAGTAGCCGCACAGAAACTCATACCTGATTGACATATATATGACATGGTATATTTTACAAAATTATTTAGGTTACAAAGCTACAGTTTTGTTGCTTGTTTAGAGGAAGGAAACTTGTTTATGCAACACATTTGACATTTTTACTGTTTTGATGATTAAAATGGGCGTTTATCATATTCACTTTGCGCAAGTGGTTTAACAAAGTCTAGTATCACAGCCATGATTTAGCCTTTATTTTATTTATTGAAACGTATCAAATCATTTTAAACATACTGTATTGACTCGGCAGTGCAGTGTATCTATCGAGATAAGAATCATATCGTTTCGTGGCCTATGTATCATATCGGCAATTTCTTAATGATTCTCAGCCCTATCCAAGACACTGACATGATACAAAGAGGACAGCAGCTCTTTCTGCAGGAGACATGCGCAGTAGCTTGTTGGGAGAGATGGGGGTGATGCGCCGAGGAAGATGCTCATTTGATTGTGTTTTGAACAGTTATTTTGCGCTTCATACACACACCCTCCTCATGGAAAACACACTACGAAATGCAGATGATGCAGGTTTTAAGTTAAAGGTGAATAATGCAGCTATGGAAGAAAAAAAGAAACAGAGCTGCTGCACGTGAACTTGACATCAGTGAGTCGATGGTGAGATTTTGGCGACAGCAGTGTGACGAACTGACACAATGCAAAAAGATGACAAAAGCTTTCAGAGGTGATAAAAGCGATGGCCTGAAATTTAAAACGTTCTTGAAGACGTGGACACCTGCGGCTTATATTCAGGTGCGGTCTATATATGTACAATTTTAAAATTTTAGTAAAAATTTTGTTAATGCGGGTTATATTCAGGTGCTCTCAATAATCCGGAATTTACAGTATACATTTATTAACTATATTTGTTTTAAGATCAATCACATGTACAATTTCTTTGCACTGGGAGGGATGTTTTTTCTTTTTTTATGTGGTATTAGACAAATCTAATAATGCTGAAGGTGTATGTCAAATAATAAACATCTATGGCACTTCATAGATAATAAACCTATCTACTACTACTAAATTGTTTAATTGTGCTATTTATTGTCCTGCAATGATTTAGAGTAAGGATGTAACAACTGAAATATGATATTTTACCATCAAAAAAACGTATTAAGCCCTTTTAAAATCTTAATTCTTACAACAGAACAAAAGACTTTTCAAGACATTTTAAAAAGGAAAATGTAGCGTATTCACAATTCTTTTAGGGTCTGCAAAATATCGTGGGATGTACCGTATTTTCCGCACTATAGGGCTCTCTGGATTATATAGAGCGCTGTCATAGAATGGTCTATTTTCGAAATTTTTTCACAAATAAACCGCACTGGACTTTAAACGAAACAGTTGGATGGGTCAGTGGTTTTGTTTGTTTGTGGCGTTCACGGTGACTCTTGGCTTTATTCAGTTGTGGCGTGTAGGGAGGGTGCTGTCTTGGAACCACTGGATTGTTGGCGTGTTCGCAGTGACTCAGTTGTTCAGTTGTGTCTAGAAGTGGCACATTGCACTCGCTTTTTCGATTCATTCCTTCGTTCCGTTCCTCGTCGGTGTGGCGTGATGAGTGTGGCTGTGGGTGTTTTTCGCTGCGCTGTCGGTGTCGGTGTGTGCGTGGCTTTGTAGTTTACTGAAGTCGTGCTAGGACACCTGACTGGATTCGTGTATAGGGCGCTCTGGATTATGGGGTGCGCAGTTGTTTTTTGATGGGGTTGGAGGCTTAAGAGCACGCCTTATGGTGCAGAAAATACGGTGTATCATAAAAATATTGAGAAATTTCCATATTTTAACATCCCTAATCTTTTCAATATTATCGTAGAAAAATATCGTACTTCAGAATGTGTTATGGTGATAGGCCTGTGTATGTGTGTATCACCTTGACGGATGGATGTTTTACTAGAACAGTTCAGGTTCTCAGTCCTCTCACCTGACGACGTTGGGGTGGTCAAACTGCTCTAGTCTCCTGAGCAGCGCCACCTCCCTCACGGTGCTGATGGGGAGTCCGTTCTGGTCGGTCTGGACTCGGACACTTTTCAGAGCCACGAACTCTCCGCTCGTCGTGTCCCTCGCCTTATACACCGTCCCATAAGCCCCGCCCCCGATCTCTGCCACAGGCTCATAGGGGATACTGGAGGTCTGGGCCATGACTGGAGTGAACTAAAGCCTGGAGACAAACAGAGAGGATATGATTAAAAACAGGAAAAACAAGTGAGGGATGGAAAGTCCCAGCTCGAGTCCCATTCTCCCATCCTATTCTCTCGGTGGAAACGTCCTCCTCCTCCATCCGGGTGCCCCTTTCCCTTGGGCGGCACATGGCTAACACGGGGGGACGTTCTCGCCAGTACGTACGTATGTACGTTTTTGATGAGGGAACAACATTTTAACATGATATATACCGTATTTTTCGGACTATAAGGATTTATAATCCAGTGAGTTTTACGTATTAATTCTGGTTGGGATTACTGACCTCGAGTTTTTTTTGTACATGGCGCTCAAAAATCTGTCAAAATGTTTTAGTACGACTTTGGTAAGTTATGAAGCAGCACCGCTTTATGGCTACCATAGTCAGGAGCCTTGCAGAGTGAGTTCGACAGAAGCTGAACCGCATCAGGACACAAGGAGCAAGGTGTTTTTCAGCCCTTATAGTTTATGCAAATTAGCCATGTGGCTTTAAGTTTTGTTTCTGTAAAATGCAAACAAATGTATGCAAGGGTGCATTCAACAGATTTTATTCACATTACACATATTACTCAATGTATATTTGTGTTGTCCTCGTTGGAAATAAAAATCCAAACTTAAATGATCTACCAGCATTCACACCACCGCAATCATAACTTTAAATTGGTGTTTCCATTATTGTGAGAAAATAAACATCACAAGGATGATAGATAAAATATATTTCTGGTATTGAAGGGTTAAATTACTTGTATAAACACATTTAGAACTGTTCCATCTTATTTTATATTTAAGGAAATAAATGCTGTTCTCAATCTCTGCACTGGTATCGGCTGACATCAGTATTAGCAGATATTTACAGCCAAAATATCAAGATCAGTATTGCAAACAGAGCATCCTCAGGAAATAGGGGTGTAACGATATCCATGTCTCACGATACGATATCGTCACGGTATGAACTTCACGGTATGACATTTATTGCGATATCATGGGAAAGCTCACAATATGGCTGGGAGGCTGACGATTAGGGACGTAACAATATCCAAATCTCTCGGTACAATATTTTCACGATATACATCTCACGGTACTTTTTAAGCTACTTTTTCCTTTTAAAATTCCTTGACAAGACTTAATCCAAAGAACTAAGACTTAAAAGTGCTTAGAACTGTTATTTCTTCTTGTAGTCTGCACTGAAATGGAGCAAAGGATCATGGTCTATGTAGTTCCCTTGTCTATTTTTAGCTTTTGCTGCACCATAAATCTTAATTTAAGCAAAGAGACTTGAAATTCGATATATTGTGATGGTCTATGATATTATTGTAAGACTTTTGACGATACAATATCACGATATTTCAGTTATTGTTACATCCCTACTAGGTAACACTACATTAATTGCTATTTTAATCTAAACAGCATGCATATTTCCCTTGCAAATTTAATTGAAAGCTGCTGAATGCACACAAATAATGCAACCAATGTACAATCATTTACATTTTCTTTGCATTTTTGTTTAAATTAAGAAAATTCCTTCAAAATTTTAAAACAGAACCCCCCAAAAAACAGAATATCTAACTATATCTGAAATCTGCAATGGAAAACACAAATTGTCCTCATGAGGATACAGTTGAAACCAAGCAGTCCTCAAGCTAACAATATCACACGCACAAATTCCATCTTGAGATCCTAAATCACCAACTCTAAAAATTCCCTTATTTGTTTTAGTTGAGATTAGATGTCGCCATGGAGACTTAACATTGAGGAAACAAGCTTTTCGTCATGCAGTCTGTCCGGATCTGCGGTCATTACTGTCTATTCTGGTCCGATTTCCGCCGCATGAATTAAATATTTGAGCGAGTTTGAACTGGAGTGACCCCGGCTCATTAAAGACGATTCACATGTGAGAGGAGGGAGGCTGCGAAGAGGAGCTCAGCCATCGAGGAGCTTTAGGATCAGACAGAGCAGCGAAGCGAGAACTACAGCCACATCTTTGACACATGAGATTCAAAAATACACGTGTTAGAAAATATGACGGGACATTCGGCTCTTTTAGGGGATCCGAATCTTTTGGATCTGTTCATTTGAAAGAGCTGGTCAAAAGACTAGGGATGTAACGATATCCAAATGTCTTGATGTTTTCACGATATGCATCTCACGGTACCATATTTATTGTGATATTATTTTGGTGCAACCACAGCTAAAAATACATGGGAAACTACATAAGACAATGATCCCAAGCGCTTTTAAATCTTAATTCTTTGGGTTATGAAAGTACCAAAGGCTTGTCAAAGTATTTTAAAAGGAAAAAGTAGCATATTCACAGTTAAGTCAAGTGTCCACAATAAATATCAAACCGTGAGATGCATGAAAATGGCGTACTGAGAGATTTCGATATCCTTACATCCCTACTAACAGATATGTGAATATACTACTTTTTCCTTTTAAAATGTCTAGACAATAGGGCTGGGTATCATTAAGAAGTTGCAGATACGACACATATCTCGATACACAGGCCACGATACAATATATATCTTGATACAGTGCACTTACAGTACGATACAATATATTTCAAATCGATTTTTATACAGTTCAGTAAAAAAAAAAGGCTAAATCATGGATGCGATACTAAAAGTCTCTGTTAAATTTTTGTGCAAAGTTCATATGAAACACAAACATTTCAATAATCAAAAGAGTGTCAAAATGTCAAATGTGTTGCATAAATTAGTTTTCTTTCACTCAACAAGCAACAAAACTGTAGCACAGTAACAAAATAATTAACTAAAATATATCTAAAATTACTCTTGGTAATATATCGATACAGCAGCCCACGATATCGATACTGTATCATCACATTAAACTATACGATATATCGATATTCTGATATTTTTGCACACCCCTACTAGACAAACCTTTGGTATTTTCATAATCTAGAGAATTAAAATTTAAAAGTGCTTAATTCATAGTTCATGCAGTCTGCTAGCCAGGCTGGTGCCACCTAGTGCCTCTGCTCAATTTCAGTTCCCTCTAGCAACTAAGTCAAGAATCAGAATACACTAGACCAGGGGTCTCCAACATGTAGCTCTCCATCCCCTTCCAAGTAGCTCATCAAGGGATTTCTGAATTACATATGTTGTGCTGAATAAGTAAATTGATTAAATGTTTATTATAATTGTACACATATCATTTTGATGCCTAACCTTTGTACCCGGTTTGTTTTATAGGCATCCAACTGTACCTCATCTAAGGCTTGCTGTGGCTATTATATATACTAAATTTTTAGTGATCGCTAAAACTAGTAGCTCTTTGGCATTTTCGGTGTGTAAAAGTAGCTCACTGAAGGAAAAAGGTTGGAGAATCCTGCACTTAGACGGTTTGCAAGAACCCCAGAAGTTGTAAACTGCACACTGGCCAATCAGCGAAGTGCTGAACCAACCAGAGTTGCGATAGCAGACTGCATACTCTATCCTCCTTCCTTTGTCAAATACAAATTCACATTTATTGCACCTTAAATTCAAAATTTCCCCCTCGCAGAAACGACATCGATCGTCGACAGACATGTTCACTCGCTGCTTTGTTTGCTGTTGTGCCGGCAATTACTTAAACACCAGTGATCGTCCCGACGCATTACATACTACCAAATAGCAGCAATTGGTTAAATAAAAAAGTACCCGTCTACAGTTGAGCAAATGAATCCTAATGCTACTAATCAGGCTAGTAGTCTGCACTGAAACAGAGCAAAGGATCATGGTCTGTGTAGTTCCCTCTATTTTACAGCTGCACCATAACAATGAATTTAAGCAAAAAAAACTTGTGATTTGATATATTGTGACTGCCCATCCCTCAGTCGTCCAGGTAGAATCCATGGAGAGGAGAAAATTCAGTTTATCGACTGGACAAAAGTTTGGTTGAAGACTTTTCGCAGCTCATCCAAGCTGCTTCTTCAGTTCTGGTCAGAATGCTGATGGACACTTATATTCTTATATCTGTCTGCAGGGAGGAGCTAACTAAGTGAAACTAACACACCAACTTGTTTACAGTTTCTGTTAGTTCGGCCTGTTGACCTGTACAAGGCAAGTTTATCTGTATATCACAATTCATACACAAAGTAATTCAGTGATTTACAAAATAAAAAAAAAACAAAAAAACATTAAAATCACAATTAATTTAAGACACTTGTAATTCGATATATGGTGATGGTCCATGGTAGTACTGCGAGACTGTTGATACGATATCACGATATTTTGGGTTACTGTTACGTCCTTAGTGAGAATACATTTTTCTACAAACTAATCACAGAGAGAAAGGACCAAGGCCAAGATCCATTCAAAACTGTTTAAACTCTTTCCTCTTTGAAATGATTTGTAACTGAAATAAAACGTTACACTACAATAAAGATCATGTAAGATTTGATTTATTTTTTGTGCACAGAGCTCTCACTCGTGTTGCCTTCTTTGCTTTTGTGCCGAGTCTTGTGTTGGTTCAGCTATAATCAGCACAAATATTCACACAAATTAGAAAAAAAATAAAAAATTCTGTTCTCGCAGACAATGAGATCCAGTCCCAATTAGAACTACAAGAAATATACTGTAGTAATTGGTCGGCCTGTTATGAGAATGACAACAACTATATGGTCTTGAGTATTTCATAGATGGGACGATACTTTTTTGTGGGGTAGTATTTATCGTGGGTATTTTTGCTTTGTACTAGTGGAAATTTTTGGGTTATTTCATGGCAATATAAGATTTGAGTTGTACAGGCTTGAATTTATCACTTCTATGACTCATTATTAGATACAAACTGACGGCTACAGTGTGCTATTCATTTATTGCAGTTAATTTTTTAAACAATATCTTGGGGGATTTTTTTTTAGGGTTACTGTGCTAGTTTCAATATTATAGCTATCGTCTATATTTAGCTACTTTAAATCACACTTTAAAAAATGTTATCGTGACAGGCCCAGTAACTGAAACCAGTGATCTAACGAAGAATCAT